GTTGTATAATTCTTTTAGATATGAAACAATTAACTCATTTTATTAGAGAAAGTGACAGTTTTAACATCTTCAAAGTTTAAATCATCTTAGACTTTGAAACATGATCAAATGCATCTTTTATATCAATAAAAACTGCAGTTGAGATCAGATCTTCATACTTTACTACTTGAATATCATGAATAACTGAGAGAACAGTATTAATTACAGAACATTGTTTTCTATCTTACATTTATTCATTAAATAGAAGAGAATCACTAATAGAGCTTATAAAAGATAATCTAGTAGCTATTATCTTTTCTAGAATTTTTCTTAAACAGTTCAACAGAGATATTACTCTAGATAACTTAGAAATTGAAGCTTTTTTATTAGATTTTATAAGAATTACTTCAGTAGCCTCTCTTCAGCATTCAGAGTGATAATCATTTTTTAAGAGCTTTGAAAAGAGTTTAAAATATTCATTGTTCAAGTAGAAATATATGTTTTAAATAATCAAGTGATTAATTGAATTAGGCTCTGCAGCAGTTTTAATTGAACTTGAGAATATTACTAACTCTAGTTCATCACATGTAAGCTCAGATCATTCTCAGTTATTTTCATTAATATATTCATGAAATGATATATTCTTCTCTTCTAAATATGATAAGTTTTGAAAGAGAATTCTTATAAAAGCTTGATATTTTTCCTCAAAAGAGTTTGCTGTATACAATTCATTCTGAAATTTATATTCTAAGATTGAAAGCTTTGCTACACTTCTTGTTTTAGTATAGTTAAAGGCTTTAAAAACTTCTTTTTCTTATACTTCTTCAAGAAATTTGTTTCAGTAATCTGTTTTGACTTTTTTAATATCTGAAAAATATTCATTTTAAATAGCTTTGAACTCTTTATCAGATATTAAGTTATTCTTTCAATCTCTCTTAGCAGTGACTAATTGCTTTCTTTTAGAAGTGATATTCTCATTTCATTAAGATTTGAAATACTCAGAAGACTTTTTCTTTAAAATATTTTCTTTAATACTTATTAGAAGAATAGATGTAATTAGCTTTACTGTATTCTTAAGTATTTCATTTAAGATATCTTGACTTTGATTTCAATAGAGCTCACTCTGTGTTTCAGATTTCAGCTGTTTTACTCTTTCTTTAACTGCTTTTCAATCAGCTTTTTCAAAGTTATACTGATTAGAGAGAAGACAATTTTCACTTCTTTGTTTTTCACTCAGTTCAATATCAAATTGAATAATCTTATGACCTGATTCTGAGGTTTCATTTAAATCAATAAATCAGTTTATAAGTCTTTTTTCAATTAGATTTTATGATATGAAAGTTAGATCTATGATAGATTTCTGTTTCATGTCTCTTCTAAGAATGTTTATTAATCTGACTTGTTAACTAAATCTATTGAATGCTTAAAAGTTCATTCAATCAGTTTATCTACTCTTACTGCTCTTATGCACTCTGAGTTTCATCAGAAATAATGTGTATTGAAGTCTTCTGCAATTATTGAGTTTTTTAAGAGAGTTATATTCAAAAATCCTCTATCAATTATTCAGATATTGTTGTTTTCTTTCAATGACTTTTCATTATAGATATTTATAAGTTGAATAGTATCAAACTCATTATCTTTATCTATAATATCACTCACTAGAATATCAGAGTTAGATATGATATTAAATCTGAGATTAAATTGATATCTTGATCTTTTTCTCTCATAGATCACTACTCTTGATTTTATCTCAGATTTTTCAGGAAGAAAGCAGTAATAGCTTGAATGAGAAATAATGTACTTTTGCTCAGTATCAAAGTTTGATTCTTAAAGAAGTACAAAGTCAACTTTTTATTCAAATGCAATCTGAAGATAAGAATAAATACAATTTTAGTTTCTATTCATATTATTTTGAATAAATGTGATTTTTGAAGAGTTTTTAAACTTTTTTTGTTGTTTTTGTTGTATATTCATACTAAGAGAGAGTAGAGATAGAGTAAAATCTAATCTCTATCATCAGATAGTAGATTATAACTATTTTGAAAAGTAGGAATCTCAACTGCTTGCATTATATCTAGTTTATTATCAGAGTCATTTCTCAATTCTCTAATCTTAACAGAAGTTTGAGAATTTAAATTCTGTTTACACTTAGCTGAAGAGTTGAAGTTTGAAGATCTAGATAGTTGAGAATTTCTTCTTTTTAAGCTTACAGTTGTAGATTTACTAGCTTGACTTTTCTCTTCAGTTTTAGATTTACTTTGAGCTTCATCTTTTCTTCAGTTCTTCTGAGTTCTTGGAGTAAATACACATTCTTTTGAGCTAGATGCATGTTTTTCTTTACAATTAAAGCACTTAAGCAGAGTATGTTGACATATTTCATCTCTTTTTAAGCATGTTTCACATTTATGCTCACTAGTTTTGTAATCTCTAGCACAGAATGCACATTTTGAGACTCTGAAATAAGAGATTACAAAGTGTTCATATCTTTGACAGTTTGAACACTGTGTTTGAGCTTTGAGATTCATTCTTGAGTCTTTGTATTTATGAACTCTCATTTTCAAACCTGCTACTCTTACTTCAGAGATTCTTGATTGTTTAAGTGTCTTTGTATACACTAGAACAGAGGCATTTCTTCTACTCTGTCTAAACTCAATTGAATTAAGTCATACAGGCTCTTTTCTCAGTTGAATAGAATTGTATTCTTTCAATTCATTTTTGAGAAGTAGCATTTCTTTCTCACAGTCAAAGATTTCAACTGGAATATCATGAAGAATGAATTTACCTCACTTTTCATCTCTCTTAGATAGAATTATTGTGTTTAACAGAGATTCTACTGCTGACTTTCAGAGATTCTCATTCTGAATAAGGAATTCTGCACTGAATTCAGGCATTGTGATCAGAATGATGGAGTTTTCAAAGAAGAATGACTCAATTGAAGCTATAACTGATTTTTGAACTTCAATATCAGTTATTAACTGAGAAAAGAACTGCTGATTTATTTCATTTCTAATTCTGAAAATAAGGTTTGAGTTTAGCTTATTTCTCTGCAATATGTCCTGATTTGAGACTTTGAGAATAAGTCTTCTATTTCTGAAGATTTGAAGATTTTTCTCTTTTTGCATTTTTTTCTTCACTCTTCTATCAATAGAAGTATGAGCAGTATTCTTCTCAGTTTTCTCAGAATTTTGAGCAGGTTTTGAGATAGCAGATTTAGAGATAGCAGGTTTAGAGATAGCAGATTCAGCTGCTTGAGCATATGTTTTCTTCTGATTTAAAGAAGAAGAAGAAGAAGAAGTAGAAAAGAAAGAAGATCAAACTGAAGAGTTAGTGATTGTATTAGAAATTTTCAAAGTTTTTTGAACTGTGTTTGAAATTCCAAGTTTGAACTTGATTGCTTTCTGTAGTTGTCTAGTCTGAGCATGCAGAATTAACAGAACTTCTTCATTCATCTCACTCAGACACTGCTTTTCAAGAATTTTACTTGCTTTTTCAAGTTTCTGTATTTCAAGAACTTGTTGTTTCTCTATTTCTTCTTTCTTTCTTCTCTTTAGAATTTCAATCTCAGTATATTCAATCTGAGTTAGTACTAAAATTATAACTAAGCTAAGAAACAAGATTATTTTCTCTTATATTAATTCTTCTTACACACATCAGTGATCAGTTATTGAAAATAAATTATCATCTTTCTCAAATTATTATCATATCTTCTGAATTCACTTCTTTCGCTTCTTTTACTTCTATTGAAGATTCACAAACTCTTCAAGAAATCACTGTGAATCACAAAGTCTATGTTATTTACAATTCAACACAGAATGCTCTCTTTTAATTATAATGAATAATCACTTCATTCTTCACATCTGATTTCAGGTCATAAAATTTATGAAAAACTCAACACAAACACTGAGATGAACTATGAAATAATTATCAACAGATTGCATTGCAGATTACTGAATAGTTATCTCTCTGTTACAATCACTGTAACTTCATTCAGAAACATTTATCATGAACTGATTATAGCTCTGAAAAAATTTTCTGACATCTGAAGTCATCAGAATGCAGATAATAAAAGAAAAATAATCAGAAAATTACTACTGAGCTGATAAGTTACTCTATCAGATAATGATTTTTAATAACACTAACTTTCTAATTTAAAGAAAATCATGTGAAAATGACTCTGTATCAGTACTCAGATTTCATAACTCTCATCTGATAACTTCTGTGAATAATTACTTTGTATATGTATATCTCTGAATCTTTCTCTTTGATCAATTAAAAACCCTGAATTCTGAACACTTCTTCAAATGCTTAATTCATATCTTTATATTTCACATCAATTCTGTCTTCAGTTCAACCTCAAGACACACTATAAAGTTAATATATAACATCTAGAATTAGAGTTGAAGAATCATTGAAGAGTGTCTCTCACAGTGAATACATGAACTAGTATAAACAATCTTACATTTATAAGAGTTATCTGTTATTATATTGATGAGAACTGAACTTATTAAGAGACATTAATTGAATTTGAATCATTGATCAGTAGTCATACTGAGAATTATATAACAGAGATATTAATAACTGTGATTAAAAATGACTATTGAGATATTAGTCTCAGTCTTCTTACAATTACAACTGATAATGCTGTGAATAACTACACTATGATGAAGAGCTTGAAGCAAAAATTGGCTTTGTATTTCTGAAATAATAAATAAGGTCATATTCTCTGCATTGCTCATGTGATTCAACTTATGATACAAACACTGATAAAGAATCTTAACATTAAGACAAAGAATAATGAGATGACTAATTCTTAGAATGAGAATGAGATGAAAGTGATTACTCAAGTAACTTTTGCATTCACTTTGCAAAAGATAATGTTTTTTGACAACACTTTTTTAATATTGATTTTTGATAATGCTTTTTGATAATGCTACTGTTAATTTTGAATAGATTGACTAATAATTTAAATATCACAGATTTGAAATATTATTAATGCAATTTGTATCTCTTCTATCACATACGAATGCCAACCGCTCCACCACGAACTCGCTCGATTTTTCGAATAAGAACCCGCCGATAGATCCATCGAAAAGCCCTCGATCATACGAGCATTTTGACCCCATCGCCGACCGCATACCCCGTGTGGTGGTGGAGTTATCCAGCCAAACGTGAACCGGACGTTGTTCGAAGCTCCTGTGTGGGATTATCCCCCGTTCTCCCCTACCACACCACAACCCCGGGCCAGAGTGCCATACAAATTGTAAGGTGAAGTGACCTAGCCATATGCACCAATCTTCTCGATTTTGGAAGACCCCCGACCTGTAGTTGTGGAGATATCCGAGGAGCGACCTCCGCGAAAACCCTGTCCATCTTTGATGTTCCAAAACACCAACGCCAAGTCTCACCCTCGTACCGCCCTTCCCAATCTGGCCCATCCCCGGCAGAAAAATACAAAAAGATACCTCGGCGATAATATCAAGCACATAATCAATGGACTCTTCTGAAGTGCAACCTCCACGGTCCGCCGCCAGTGTATCTAGACTTCAACACCAAGTCTCACCCCTGTACTACCCCTCTCAATCTGGCCCATCCCCAGCAGAACGATACAAAAAGATACCTCGGCAACAGTATTCAATACATAATCAGTGGACAATGAGTCAACAGCACACCAACAACTATAAAATCAGTATACCCCAAGGTCTGACTGAGCCTTTGATCTCTGCACAGTGAGATATATTAAATCTAGTTCTAATACCTCAATATTCAATAGATTCTGCAAGGGATTGAGAACAGCAACACTAGGTTTCTATTGAATTTGAGAATTAACTCTATATTGATATAATCATTGACAAAGTCTTCTATTTTGAGATATAAATAACCAGTTCCTCTACATCCCGCTGGCAATATTTATATTATCATATAGAAACAGACTTATATTCTCTATAATATCAAGACCCTGAAGAGGGAAAGTCTTGATAGAGAGTATACAGTAGTGCATATCTTAGCAGTTTCTATCTCATTCTTCTGCAGCAGTTAATGCAAAAAAAAAAAGATCTTAGAAATAGTTTTTTACTTCTCTTGAAAAAGTAAGGTGTTTTTCTCTGGGTTTTACACAATATTCTTACAAAGAATTAAAAACAGAGTTGTTTTCTGTCATAATTTCATATTCTTTTAAGTAAGAATTACTTTTTCAGTGGCTGAAGAGCTTTTATTAATACTTAATTCTTTTTTACACTCTTTATTAACTGATTTGAGTTGCACACTTGTTGTGTGAGAAGAATTGAATGATTTAGAATAAAATTGAATAGTTTTAATCAATTTCTCTGCAAAAAATTGATTTATTTTTTGTCAGTTTTTCTCTCAAAAACTGTCATATCATCTGATTTATTATCAATTGATATCATACTTTTCCTCACTGTATCCCAAGAAAGAGATTGTAAAGATTTTACTGATTTATCTTAAAAATCAATTTTAGTTTATTAGATTCTCTTCAAAAATCTAACCTAGTTACTGAACTAGTGTGAAAAAAATCAGGTGTTTTATACACAAAAGTCTTTTATTCTTCTTTTGAAACAGTCTGACCAACTGTTCAATTGAAAACAGACTTAGAAATATCTCAATTGAAACAGTCTGACCAACTTTTCATTGAGTGAAAACAATGAGTTCAAAAATACACTCAGTTGATGTGGAAAAAGATGCTTTCTCAAATGCTATTCCTGAGATTGAAATTCTGAAGAGAGAAAGAAAGAGAAATAGAGAAACAACA